AAGTCCTTCGTCCCTCCGCGCAGAACGACCCCCTGCAACACCATCCGCCTGCCCCTCCGCCGGCGCCCGCCCACTCGCCCGCGCGCCCCCCTTCGCCCGTCGTGGAGCACGCCCACCCGCCCGCCGACCGTGCCGCCCGCGAGGAGAGGGGGATGCGAGCCGCTTCGCGGAAGGACGCCCCGCTCGGGCAGCGCGTTGCGAAATCTCTCCCGCCGACGCATCCCACCGCCGAGCCGCAGCACCGCGTTGCCCCGCCCGTGCCCGTTGCGAAACCTCTCCCGCCGACGCATCCCACCGCCGAGCCGCAGCACCGCGTTGCCCTGCCCGTGCCCGATCACGCTGCAGCTGCCGCTGCAGCTTCGCCTGATGCGGGGGCGGTGGCAAAAGGCGCTTCTGGGAAGCGATCGGCGTTTTCGGAGGTTGCGGTGCCGCTAGGAAAGCTGGAAAGTGCAAAGTCTTTCGGTGGGAAGGCCTCAACGGATAACTCGCAGCTAGAGTTGGGCTGTGCAGAATCGCCGCGCGTCGCAGATGGCAAGGCAGGTGAGGACCCTACGCCTGCGAAGGCCACTAGTGTCGTAGGGTCTGCAGAAAGGACGCAAGCGAATGAGAAGATTTTACAACCCTTGCAGCAGCCGTCATCTACTCCTGGTCAGGTGAAAAGCCCCATCACAGTGAGCGAATCAGCCCTCGTTAAGAAACCAAAAAACGGCACATCATTGGATACAGAGGGAAAAGAGTCTCAAGTCACCCCACCAACCAACGAAAACATAGAGCCACGCGATGAAGATGTGAAAACTACCCCGATAGAGGTCGCATCTAAAGATAAGGGAAAACCTGTTGCTGCTGGGAACAAAATATCGGCAGAGAGTCGTGATGGCGATGGAGAGCAGAGTGACGGGCACCGAAAGTCTGTTTCATCAAAAGGAGAAGAGAAATTGGAGAAACATCCAAAGCGCGCAACCTCCCCGGTCAGGAACGGCGGCAAGGCCGCAGACAAGAAGCGGTCCGATGGCAATAGTGAACAGTCTGGAAAACTTGAAGAACGGGACAACAACGCGGAAACACGAAAGTTAAGTAGTACCAACTACGGGGATGAAAAGAATGTGAAAAATCCGATCACTCTTTCGCCAAACCTGGAATCTAAAGTTCACCAACCGAAATCTTCTAATAAAACCATAGAAGAAGCGACTGCTGGTGCTGGGACAAGGAATCTTCCAAAGAAACTACCTGGGGTAGAGGCAATGCAGATAGAATCGAAAAAAACCGAAAGGGTCGACATGGAAACGGACAAGAGCGCGCGTACTTCTGACGTCGTGGAGAAGCAACCGTCGACTCACGGCTCTGCTCCTACTGTTTCAAACGAGGGAGGAGCACTTAAAGTATTGAATCGTGAGCAGTTTTCTCCTTCACATGGATCTCCAGGTACCGATAGAGAACGAGAGGCGACCGGAACGAACGGCAAAACACCTTCCCCTCCTTTGTCTTCAACTATCGGAGGCAAACAGGCACTCGGGCAGTCGGAGAAGTCTTCTCCCACACCGTCATCCTCACTCGAGGATGGAGACAAAGGGACAGCAAGGAAGCAGAAAAGCCCGTCTAAATCTCTGTCACCTGCAGTTAGCGATAGAGGCAAAGCAGAGAAAGCATTGGAGCGATTTGTGCGAACTTCCGGCTCCAAAAAGCCAGAAGACGTGGCCATACGACAAGTCGATCAGAAGTCGGAAAAGCACAGACCGCAGCGCAAGGACGCAAAGGTCTCTTCAGATAAATCTGACAGAAAGGCTGGAAAAGTATCCGGAAAAGAGCGGATCTCTAAACCTTCATCCTATGATACTCAAAGCACGGAAAAATCCCAGGGTAAAGAAAACTTCAAAAGCGGCAAGTCGACTAAGCGAAAACGAAGAAGTGAAGCGGATAAGCCTACTGCGGAAGAGCCAGATCAGAACCCCTCTGGCAGTCCGAAGAAAAGGCCCAGAATTCACAATTCTGATACCCGTTGTGTTCCACAGGACCTTGAAGAGCAGAAAAACATTCTTCGCGCTCTACGTGAGTTAATGGAGAAGGATTATGCAGAAGTCTTCTTAGAACCGGTCGATCCCTCAGAAAAAGGCTGCGCGGCGTATTATACAGTAATTAAGAAAGCTATGGATTTGGGAACCATTGAGAAACGTCTCGATCAAGCGACCTCACAAAACGCGTACTACGCAGCTAAAACCGATATCTTCGCAGATATCGAACTTGTCTGGTCGAACTGCAGACAGTTCAACGGCATGTTCGACCCCATAATTGGCGATGTTGAGAAATGCATGGCGTTTCTAGACGCGGCGTTGGAGAAGTACGGCGTAGAAAGTGGTGCAAACAAGGATAATCAACGAAGACGCTCAAGGTCACGTTCTCTGAAGCGAAAGTTCGAGGATAGTCAGTTGACAGAACGACCCAAGAAGCAACAACAACAGCGTAAAAAAGCAAAGCCAAAGGCTGATGACCTAAACGATGGTCGTCTGGTCGGCAAAGTGGTAGCGGTGTTCACGCGGCGAGGTCCCCGGAAAGCTAAAGCTTGGACGCGGGTGAAAGTTGTCGATTTCCTCGAGCGCTCGCAGTCATACAAACTGCAGTGGCTTGATGACGGGAAAATAACCTATAACGCTACATTTGGTATGAATGAGACTTTTCCTGTGTTTCGTCAGTGAAGCGAGGGGGGTTTTCCGCCACCCGCTGTTACGCTTATTATTATCCTAATAAATGACAACATCTCCGCTGGTAAAGGAGATTATTGCATCCCATCTGTTGTTCCACGGATAACCACCAGCTTCCTTGTGCTAAATCGAGGTCGTGCGAAAATGCAAAGCACCGATGACTAGATCTCAGAAAATGAACTGTACACAGGAGGCGATGTTGTATACAGTACATCAGCAATATTGGAGGTGAAGAGTGATGGATACTTCATGGGGCCAGAAAAAGGAGTGATGCCAATAGGCTGATATGAGAAGCGGGAGGGGATGTTTCGTAGAACAAAGACAATATTCTATTGAAGGCCTTAGTTACTTCAATACATAGTTTGTAGTCCTTGGCTATTCACTTTCCTTACCATCACTGTCCGTGGAGGTTTCCTCAGCTTTTCCATCCTCTAAGATGTCTAAATTCCCAAAACTGCTCTTGCATAAGTACAATCCTTTTGTCTTCCGTGCGACAGCTATTCTATTTCTTGTCTCCCTCATTGTCGCCGAAGGCAAACGTTCCCGATAGACCGCAAACAGGTAGCCGGTGCAAAAAGCATCCCAACCCGCAGTATGCATTTTCTTTTCGTTGCTTATCAGATGTGGTTTGACCTCTATTCCACCGCGTTCTGTGTCCGATTCACCAAACACCCCCAATTCTGCGAACGAGTTTTCCTCTCTGTGACCTTCCGCAGACTTTCTACCTTGGCCAGCTTCTTTGGCTAAGAGCGCCAGTTTCCGCTTCTTCGAAAGTCCAGATAGTTCGGACTGGGCAGTTTTGCGATATGACTTCAGTTTCTTCGACTGGACTTTGTACCTCTTGAACGCCTCCTTACTGTCTTTCGGAAGCTCGTGCTTCTTCTCCCTTTCCACGGCCGCAAAAGCATCATGCTTAAAAGGACAGGAAACACCCCGTGCACAAAACCCTCTGAATGCGTAGAGCTCGCAAAGCGTATCCTTCGCAAAGTCCGGAGGAATTTCGTCCGATGGATCTGCCAAATCGTCGGACGGTAGCCCATGGGCATTCGTAACGCCGATCTTGTCCTTCAACACTGCACTTGCGAACAAATACGATAAATATGAGCGCGGTTCCGCCGCTACTGACGCGAGCATTTTGTTATCCCAATACCCAGCTGGGACGCAATCCAACAGCGCACCGATAAAGCCATGCAACGTGGGAGGGAGCGGCCCTTGGAACGCGGCGTACATAAACGCAAGATCGAAAAGGCCATTGTGAAGGATAAGTGGGACGCCCTGCCGGCCAATACGCCAGAGCAAACCGCGAGGCAACTTGTCCCACCGCCAGGGCGAAGAGGCCTTCTCGACGTCGGCGCCCTTCAGGTCCGGCGGCTTTTCGGTGCTCGCGCGTGTGTACGGGATGCCTTTCTTGAACATGCGATTGAAGTCGAAGTTGTGCGAGACGAGAAATTCGCCGGCGTTGGCGTTGACGGTAAAGTCATCCTGGCAGGACATGAGCCAGTCGTACGTGGCGACTTCGTACCATCGCTTCGATTCTTCTGCATCCTCGTCAGGGCTCACCGGACTGAAGAGAGAGAGCCCCACAGAGAAAATAGCTCGCGTGTCCGCGAGACGGCGGATGGCTGCATAGCGTGCGCCCAAATCTTCGGACAGCAGATTTGCGTCGCGACCGAGACCGGAAAACTCGGCGTCGACAGCGACAAACCCTGTCGGCGGGAGCTTCGACAGCTTATCGCCAAACGAACCGAAGCCAGAATCTTTCCCCGCTTTTGTTGTGTTGACAATGCGAATAGCTGCTACTTCGGCACGGCTGCTCATCTCAACTCGGGGTTGTAAGAGGCAACGCTCCCATCAAAGCGAGACCGTCCACACTGCATGTACAGTATGTGAGAGCCGGCGCCGTGTTTCCTGCCCGTCCAGCAATGTATGTTTTCATATGCTGTTATGATTGCCTTGATGACGTCACGGTGGCATGCGTGTTTCTTTCGCGCATGTCAACTGTTCTTCGCACTGGTGTTGGCGCATTTTCCTTGAGCGAGAGTGGCGGTTTGTCCGCTGCCGCCATCGATGGAAAGCTACTTCCGGACATACCGCGATAGAGCAAAAAGTTAAAGAATCGCCCTACATCCTCTCTCCATGAGGAAGTGCCCATCTTTTCGAAGCAGAACGTCTGATTCATGAGGCACAGACTTCAGACACGTCTATGTAGGGAATCCTCCTGGCGGTTCATACACTGTCCGGTGCTTTATTTATGAAACCTCCTCGTCGATGCAGGTGCCCCGCACTTATCTTCCTTTAACTAATACCCCTAGCTGAAACGTCATTTGTTAGTGGTCTATGACTACAACAAAACTAAGTGAAACATCACTCACGCAAAGTTCCGAACCCCCAAGTGATACTCCGATATTCGGTTGTACGAAGCTCAGTTGAAGCTACAGTCCACGCTATCACCAATTGTTAAAACCGGAGCGACAATTGACGCAGTTTCGCCGTCTCCTTGCTGTCTAGCGTGACGGCTCGTCAAAGCAATACGCTGCCACAATACTCAACAAACCAAGCCACACGTACGCTGCTCAACGATATTCAATTAGCCATGTGTACGAACACCAACATGTCGTTGTACAACAGAATCCGAATCAGCAGAAAGGCCCGTGCATTGAATGACAATCGAACAACGTTTTCAGCCGACTCAATATACAGGGTAGAGTACCCAATGCATCATATTACGTGTAGACAATCGACTACACAACTGCCACGATCGCAAGATTAGCGTGCGGTCAATTTCAGTAGTAATCCATAGGGCCTAGATCCTTTTCAAAACTCTCATGAGCCCTGTGCGACAGCCGATTCCTCAGCAAGCGAACTTGAAGGGGCACTCGTTTGCATCTCCAAATCTGCTTCTGCCACCTTTGCAGGATCTTGCATCTTTGCAGCGTCATCAGAAGAGATCCCTAGCTCTTGCATGATTTTCAGGAGTTCTTCGTCTTCCTCGGTTAGCGCTGGCTGTTCAGTGACAGTAGCCGGCGGCCTGGCTTCGCCTGAAACCAGGTCTTCAAGCTCTTGCTCCAGTAATGCCTGGTCTCCAACTGAGTCTTGGTTGAGTTGTCCGAGGGCATGACGCACGTCTTGCTGATCAGCCAGCATCTCATCAAAGTCGGCGGCTACAGCGTCTACTCTGTCGGCGGTCACGCCACTTTCTGTCGCTGCCTTCAAAGAAGACATTCCAGTTTCAAGTGCAGCGACAGCTTCTCGGTTTGATTCAGCCTCGTCTACCGCCATGAGAACATCGGAGAGCTTGGAAGCAGTTGCACGAGACCCAACAAGCTTCATCTCGAGTGCTTTCTTCTTCTTCAACCGTGCGAGTGCGTCAGACTTATTCCCAGACTTGGCAGAGGCCACAGCTGCTTCTTTCTCCGCCTGGACGGCGACATCTAAATGTGCACATACTTTCTCCATGCGCTCCAACGCAGCCTTTGTCCGAAGAACCCCTTTGTCGGCTGGGCTTGTCGACCCCTTTCCAAGTTTCACACCCAGGACGGGATCCGGATCTTCTTTCGTGGGGTCTGTGAACAATGCAGTTGCATCACCCTGCGAGACCATGTGAGCAATGACGGCCTCAGCGTCGCGAGCACTACCGGCTGTGAGACCCTCTGCAAACGTCTTGACAGTGTGAATGTCTCCAATAGCCGTGGGGCCGGACAGCGTCGATGCTCTCTGAGCGACAGCTTTCAAAGCGGCGACTGGAACGATGGGATCATCAAGGGTAGGGGCCTGTGGCTTGGTAGAACCCCAAAAGTAGCTTCCAATGCTGGATCTCAATGCACCTATAGAATACGCTGACTGAGAGGTAGTACTTGGTGCTTTTAGAGTATCTGCACTGACGACGTCGCCCCGCCTGAAAAGTTCTTCAATGACCCTCACACCCGCCGATGGCTCAGTCCCGTTGTGTTTCAGCTGCTTCAAAAGTTCCCTCTATTGGCGGGCGCGCCGCAAATTTTGACAAGTTTCGACGCGACGTCAGAATTTGTGCTCAGGTGTAGAGATGCGGGACGAAGCATGGGATCTATCTAGGACTTACCGGTGAGATAACGAGGCTTCCAGGACGACTGCATGATGCTACAATGGCATCTTCAAAGAATCCCAGTAAAGCATCCCAAAGGGCCTACGCTTTCGCAATGAAGAAAGAGATAGCTCGTGTCAGCAGTTGAGTTCGTCGCGCCGGCGTGTTCGCTGGGAACAAGATGGATCAACGCACTGGGTTAATATCGCGCGACTGCGGCAAATCCGAAGACCAGAGAACATCGATCTCTTCCTTTGTTCGAGAAAAGTACGCTGGCATGCTCGTCACGCTCCATGTGGAATCCTTCATTGCAGCGACAACGGCAATTCAAACGGCCGTACACTGTGGATGGGCCGGCTTTGAGGTCTGCGGTTGCCGCTGATATTCCAATGTGCAGTAGGATAAAGAGCGAGGGTGGCTGCAATTGAAAGAATCTCGGGTACCTGTGGCAACGACGACGGCTCTTGGGTGAGCGGTCTTTCTCTCTTTCTCTCTCTCTCCCTCGGACGGAAAGCTCTAACAAAGACAGTCCGCCAGGGGCAAGCCTACTGTACCTGCTGAGGCCAGGATATATGATATACCAAAGACATGAGTTTTCATTATTTTTAGCGCAATACAGTATGTGTTCATTTTCTACGCTCCGGGTTTTGAGAGGCGGGGCAACAGCCAGCTGATCTACACGGCATTTCCCAGTTCGTTCACCACGACAGCGCTCCTAACCGACGATATACCGTTGCGCGAGGCGAAAAGTTTTCTTCGCAAAGGAGGGAAGGGAATCATTCCGCTGAAGCGCCATTCTGCAGAACCAAGCAAGTTCGTCTAAACTGTGCTCATAGAATGACGAATCAACCAGACACATTCGCATCCTTTGTGCTCCCAGACGATGTCAACAAGTAAGTCACCAACTTCAGTTGCCGAGATCTATCGATACGCTGATGGCCAGTGATTTAGTGCATGCTCTGACAACAAATCACCTCCTTTTTCCAATACAACATCTTGTTGCAAACTCGTGCTCGAAAAGACTCGAATACGTCCAGGACACGAAGCTGTACAACTCGGGAACATTCAAGCTGGAGCGCGAGGACCATACAATGGGAAACTTGATACGAATGCAGCTAATGCGAGATCCAGATGTCATATTCGTGGGCTACAAGCACCCCCATCCTTACGAACATCACATACTGTTACGAGTACAGACGACAACGAGGCCGTCAGTTGGCGGGACTTACTTACCGCCAGATGCGTTTAAAACCGCGCTACAGGATTTGGCGGCAGAAGTCTCGACGCTGTCGGAACAATTGAGGAGCCAGCTGCATTAACGGACTGTCATTTCACGATCGTACTGGCACACCCAATTGGCTGTGCCAGTACGACCGTGAAATGGCAGGATGCTCCCGCCGCAAATGATACAGAAGAGCAAGAGTTTCAGGCTTTCCAAGCGTTTCTATCAAGCGCCTATCCTTCCAAACAGGACTCAGATTTTCTTCCCCCAAGACACATTGCAGGATGAAATCGAAAGCACAATATCTGGACTGCAATTTGGTTTTCCAATTGTATACTTGCACCCCACGCAAACACGCTTTTGCATAATGTAAAAACTATATTCAAGCAAGTAGGTACGGTTTGGAGTACGCATCTAGATGCGCCTCAGGCTTTTTTAGCGATCTTCTGCCATCACAAAAGTGTTTATTCGTTTCGGGATTCTGCCGTGTGCAATCCTGTACAGAAAGTGCCAGATATACTGCGCCACCTTGTCATGGGGTGGAATTTCTCAGAGATATATGTATATTGTCATACTGCTATAAAGAGCATGGTTCACACTGTTCGGGTAGGGTCTTCCGACCCTAATCTGAAGCAAAGTATGTATGTCGACATTATGAACGACCGGCACAAGAGGTATAGATGTATCTCCGACTTGGGATAGGCGATGAGGTCAAGAGTATGTGTTCCTTAAAGCATCAAGCCGAAATCAAATACTTGTCAAGCTGGGGATCAAGAACGGCTATGGTGTCACGGGGTCTTCGAACCCATTCCCACAAGAAAATTCCGTTCGGTGCAATGCAAATCAGTCATAACGTTCATGGGTGATCTGTGTGGGAGATTGGTCTGAGAGGCAGGCAGTGCCCCAAAAATCTAAAAAATCACATGTAACCCTCAATCTGGCATATCGCAGCTTCGCTTTTTACAGCTGGATCTACACCGCTGGCTTCTTGTCCGCCCAGTCAGACTGGCTGCACAAAACAAGCGACATCAGGCCGGTCAACATTGACCTTCACGAGCAAAGAATCTGAGAGAATGAATGCCTTTGTCTCCGCCGCGGCGATAGGCGCAGGTCATCAAAGTTCATTTGTCACGGACCGATGCGCCGCACACCAAATAGTGCCCAGACTACCGTCCTCGAATCGACCCCGGCTGTGCCCGATATCCATGTCAGGAGGACCAAGCTGGAGCGACCATGTCCCTGTCGCTGAGAAGCCGCGCACGCTGATTCGCGAGGACGGGATATCCGGGTCTGATACGATGCAAAGCCGCTTCGAATCGATGATACGCAAGGCGCAAGACGACATCTGCGCCCAGGTCGAAGCCCTGGACGGAGGGAAATTTCACGAGGACTCGTGGATCCGTGAGAACGGCGGCGGAGGAATTTCCCGCGTGCTGCAGGGAGGAAACGTTTTTGAAAAGGCCGGAGTCAATGTGTCTGTGGTCTATGGCACTATGCCACCAGAGGCCGTCGCTGCAGCAAGCGCCAGAGGGGTAACGCGCGATGTCGGCTACGCGCCTGGGGAGGCTGTTCCGTTTTTTGCGGCTGGTATCTCCTCGGTCATGCATCCTTGGAACCCCATGGCTCCGACCATGCATTTCAACTATCGTTACTTTGAAACAGATAGAGGTCTTTGGTGGTTTGGGGGTGGTACTGATTTGACTCCGTCGTATCTCTATGAAGAAGACGCCAAGCATTTTCATGGAACACTCAAGAAGTGCTGCGACCGACATGACGAGGCATATTTTCCAAAGTTTAAGTCTTGGTGCGATGATTACTTCTTGATCAAGCATCGCGGAGAACGTCGCGGGCTCGGTGGGATCTTCTTTGATGATCTAAATGACAGGCCGGCCGACGAAATTTTCAAGTTTAGCACGGACTGCACAAACACCGTGTGCGAGGCATACTTGCCCTTGGTGGAGAGACGGAAAGATGAGGAATACACTGAAGCCCAAAAGACTTGGCAACAGCTGAGGCGCGCTCGATACGTCGAATACAATCTCGTGTATGATCGAGGCACGGTCTTCGGCCTCAAAACGGGAGGTCGAATTGAGAGCATCTTGATGTCTCTGCCCTTGACTGCTCGCTGGGAGTACGACCACTCCCCCGAAGCAGGGTCTTGGGAGGAGAAGACGTTGGCCGTTTTGAAGGAACCGAAAGATTGGGCATGAAGCTCAGCGCAATGAACTCTGCAGAATGCAGCAACTGATTTTTCCCTATTTCTTCGAAGAGTAGTGAAGAAGCAGCGTGCGGCATGCGTTTCCATTCAAGAGTCGACAGGGGCATCGTCTTCGTAGAAACTAATGCCCGCATCTTCAAGGCCTAACTTACCAAGAATAAACCTTGCATACTTCTCGAACTCCTGACGCGGATTCTCGGGGAATGGGGCATGCAGTGCGCCCATTCCGCCAACCACTTCGTGAGTGTCTGAGGACGCTTCCACCGCAGCTATTGCGAAGACAGCATCAAGTGCGGTGGCTGTTTCGCGAAACATGAGTCTTGCATGCGAATGTGCAAGTCTCACCAGGGCCTCAAGGAGACGGACAGTTGTTCTCGCAGCGTTTCTTTTTACCGATGCGCGCTCCATAGTGTAGTACTTTGAAAGCAGAGTTTGGGCATTCGGGGAGAGTTTTGGCTTCAGATCTGTCTTGATGTAATACAAGTACTGGCGCAGTCTTTCGGTAGACCAGATTTTGTCTGCTTTCTCCATTGAGGGCGCTTCGTATCCATTCAGGATAAAACTAGAGAGCTGCCTGTCCCACTGTTCATTTTTCTGGTCAAGAAGAGTGAGGACAACATCAAAACGGCTTAAAAGAGGGGATGCAATTCCAACTGTGATAGGCAGTTGATCCCCCCCGAAGTCTCCATGCTCATTCCCAGCGGCATCGTTAGATCCCCCAATCTCCGTACAGATCTTTCCCCCCTTGGGATTGACTGCTGCAAGAACAGTCGCGCGGGTATCCAAAGTGCAAACGAGCCCCGCTTTCGCTACAGAGAGTGTTTGTTGCTCCATTGCTTCATGAATAGCACCTCTGTCATGGTTCTTAATGCCGTCGAATTCATCAATGCAACATACCCCTCCATCAGCCAGCACTAAGGCACCTGCATCCAGCATCCATTCCCCTGTCCCAGCCTCTCGTACAGCAGTCACCGTCAGACCTGCCGAAGTCGTTCCAATCCCTGTAGTAAGAACTGAGCGCGGAGAAATTTTCGCGGCGTATCGTAGTATTTGCGACTTTGCCGTTCCTGGGTCTCCGACAATAAGCAAATGAGACTCGCCCCGGATGCGACTACCTGAAGGGTCACAATAGGAAACTCCACCGATGAGAGACATAGCCACAATCATTTTTAGCAAGTACATGCCGTAAATCTGGGGACAAATTGACTTCAGAATAAGGTTCCTCGCTGTCAGCTGCTCGGTCGGAGGATGAGAGGCCCAATGTGATGCGAAAACTTGTTTTGATTCCTCAGTCACATGCAGAAAGGATTTTTTCTCGTTGTTCGAAGATATGTGAAGTGCAACCAGCATGAGTTCAACATCTGACCTAGAATCAACAATCAAAGGCTTGTTCCATCGGCGGTAGAGAATACCCGACACAACGACATCATCTCCTGGTTTGACGGTGTCGGCCAAATCATCTGTGAGAATGACAATCAGAGATCTCGGAATCGAGCCGACATCAAGATGTTGCACCTTTTCCTGAACTTTGACCTCTTGATACTCTCGACAAACCGGCGGAACGTCGTCCAGGGGCACAAACTTAGTGCCTGGACATGACCTGGGGCATCTAGTAGGTACAGCAAAAGCCCCTCTCTGAGAAATATCTCCTGTGACCACAATAGTGTTTTTGCATTTTGAACAGATATATTCCCTTGTGACTTCGCGCAGCATCACACTCCCGGTCCTCGTGATGGTACCGAGAAGCGAAAGGAGCTTGTCTACATCGCGATTGCGTAACGCGCTGATGTTCTGTTTGAGGTAGGCTGGAGTAGAAGGCAAATGACATACCCTCGCGTGCACATTTGCCTTTGGGTTGTCCGTAAACGACTCTTGAAGGTTTTGAATGGCTTCCTCAAGCAATGGAAGAGCTGTTTGTGGGTCATGCAGAAGTGCGGCGCAACCGTCGGGGGCTATGTTTTGCATGGCAATGATGTCAATCTCAACAGCATAGTGGGCTGTGTCATCCTCCTCGGCGGATATTTCTTTGATTCGGTCGAGACATGTTTTCCGAAGGTACTTGTCAAATTCGCGAATGTACTCACTGGGTAACCTTGAAGTCTGCATCTGAGATTTCCGGGCAAGCACGACTGTTGTAACATTCCAGAGCCACTTTTCCTGGCCTTTCCGTTTTTCAAATGCCCTGTTCCCCTTTGAGCTTGTCTACCCGCTTTCCCAAAGCTACGCCTGCTACGACATAGGATGACGTCCTGTTTGGGTTTTCCGCCAAATTATGTGGACTCTGCCATACAACATTACAGTCAGAGAGTCTGTAAATAGAGACGCAAATAAGGCTGTTTTTGATATTGTGGTTTGGTTGTTAAGGTCCTCTCCCTGGCATAAAAAGATTGCGAACATGTCTTTGCTCTTCAAAATTGCGTCCAGCAAAGCGATATGCAATCTGGACAAGTGGACAGGTTGAATGTTGTTCATAGCGATGCTCGCGTTTGCCCCTGTGATTGGGCCAGGCTACCTTGCGAGTTGCATACTGTGCCTTATTGCGACGAGGCGCTATAAATCAAATATACCGTACGGATCAGGGCATTCACAGCGCTACAGTACAAGATCACGTTTCCTTCTGCCCAATTGATGTCTGCGCGGCGAAGTTCCCGGTGCGACGAGCAATTTGGGACATCACTCTTCATCACCTTCTTCTTCAACTTTGATCTTGAGTTGGCTCTGCATATGCCCTGCATTGACTTGACGTCAACGTGGAATAATTTTGATCTATTCAGAATAGCTTCAATTTCCACTAAGCTGACCTCCGGTCATCGTTCGCCGAGGTAGTTCACGACTTGTCTCGAAGGACATCTGCAACCCCAACTTATCGCAGCGCTACGGCCTCAAAGACACCTGTGAATCGCTAGAGAAAAATCCGGGACGAACGTCGTTCTTGTGTCGCACTTGCTGCGGAAATCTTATGTTGTGTCTCAGTACTTCAACCATTGGTTCCTCTCTAGCAGAAGTTCTCTCTTCAGCCGTTCTTCCCGCTCTCTCTTACTCTTGACTTTCAACTCTTAGGTTAGCTGCCCATGCACTAATTTTAATTTTGTATGAAACGTGCCCCACCTGTGTAAGGAAGAGTTGGACTCGTGGTTGGCCCTTTCTTTTCACCTCGTACCATGCGTATTTACATTGATGGTCTCTGTGTGTATTTCCCTTATCCAAGGGTCTATCCAGAACAGTATGAGTACATGTGCGAGCTCAAAAAGACAATTGATGCTGGTGGTCATTGCATCCTGGAGATGCCTACAGGAACGGGCAAGACCGTTACTCTGCTTTCCTTCATAACTTCATATCACTTGCAGCGACCGGAAATGGCAAAGTTGGTCTATTGCACTCGAACAGTTGGTGAAATGCAGAAGGTTCTTGAGGAGTTGCAGATTGTCTCGAAATACCGGGATGAATGCTTTGCGGAAGACAACCCCGAGGCAGCAAAGTCCATGCCAAAAATGCTCGCGCTTGGTCTTACCACGCGTCGCAACCTATGCCTCCATCCAGTAGTCTCTGCCAAGGAGAGCAGAGATGAAGCTGATGCCGCTTGCCGCTCGCTTACTGCATCATGGGTTCGCAGTTCAGTCATGGAAGCTCAAACAGAAGGTGGGAGTATGGCAAGAAATGAATCGCTTTGTGAGTATTTTGAAGGGCATCAGGCGGAGGGAGTCAATTCAATGATGCCACCAGGTGTTTACACTCTGGACGACCTCATGGAATTCGGTCGTCAGAAGAAATGGTGCCCTTACTATACCGCCAGACATTGTCTCAGCTTTGCTAATGTTATTGTCTATAACTACCAATACCTTCTAGATCCCAAGATCGCTGGCCTTATATCAAAGAACCTTGCGCGAGAAAGTATTGTTGTTTTCGATGAGGCCCATAACATCGACAATATTTGTATTGATGCGTTAAGTGTCAATATTCGCGAGGTGACTCTTCGGAAGAGCCTTGGAAATATTGCTAGGCTTCGGGAAACCGTCGGAAATGTGCGAAACACTAACAGAGCCCGACTGCGACAGGAGTATGAGCGATTGGTACGAGGAATGTCAACCAGTGGCATTGTACCACAACTGAATGTCGGAGACTCAATGCTGGCAAGCCCTAATATTCGTGAGGACATAATCGAGGAAACCGTTCCAGGCAATATTCGCAAAGCGGAGCACTTTATCCAGTTTCTGCGAAGGTTGGTACAGTATCTTCGAATCAAGAAAATGACTGGAAGGGAGTCAAAGCAGGAGCAGCCGTCAAGCTTTCTCTATGAATTGCGCCAGGAACTGCAAGAAGATATTCGTCCACTAAGATTTTGCAGTGACAGACTTAAGTCTCTGCTTCAAACCTTGGAGATATCAGAAGTTTCGGAGTTCACACCCTTGCAACTAATTGCAGATTTCGCCACTTTACTAGGAACCTACGGTCATACGAAGAGCTTTGGTATCGTTTTCGAGCCGGTTGATGAGCGCCTACCAAATATCCCGGACCCAGTTCTCCAGCTGGCATGCCTTGACGCATCCCTTGCGATGCGGCCTGTTTTTCAGAAGTTTCAGAGCGTTGTGCTTACGTCAGGCACGATATCGCCTTTACCCCTGTACGCAAAAATCCTGGGCTTCCAGCCTATTGTAATGAAATCACTGACGATGTCAATGCAAAGGCAAGCAATCTGCCCGCTCATTGTTTCCAGGGGCCCAGATCAAGTTGCAATCAGCTCCAAATACGACTGCCGCTCCGATATTGCAGTCGTACGTAATTTCGGCAATCTGTGCGTTGAACTCGCCAGTACGATCCCAGATGGAATGGTGACTTTTTTCACATCATATGTTTATATGGAACAGATGATCTCTATGTGGCATGAGATGGGAATCATAAATCGTTTGTTCGCGAAAAAACTCGTGTTCATTGAGACACCGGACACAGTTGAGTCGGCTCTAGCACTTGACAGATATCGAAAAGCATGTGATGCCGGGAGAGGGGCGGTGTTCTTGTGTGTTGCACGGGGGAAGGTGGCGGAAGGAATAGATTTCGATCGCCACTACGGCCGGGCAGTGCTTGTAATCGGAGTGCCCTTTCAGTTCACTGAAAGCCGTGTACTCCGAGCAAGGCTTGAGTATATGCGGAGTATGCTGAATATTCATGAGGGAGATTACCTATCCTTCGACGCTATGAGGCAAACAGCGCAATGTGCTGGGCGTGTCATCAGGAACAAGAACGATTACGGAGTGGTGGTTTTTGCCGACAAGCGATATGTTCGGGCCGATAAGAGAAACAAACTACCGAAATGGATCAGTGATCTTATGCCAGCATCTCAGGTAGACCTTGATACTCAGGCTGCTCTAAGTGTCACAAAGTTATATCTAAGGACGATGGCCCAGCCCCCGATAGAAGGGGAGATGAAAGTTGCCCTTCTATCTGAGGACCAAGTGGCTTCACTCAGTGCAAGTCGATTCGCAAATGTAGCTAACTAGGTCCTTAGCTGGTTACGTCGGAAACCGAACGCAAGCCGATGTGGTTGGATGTATGAATTCTCCAGTTTGGAAGCGGCAGTGATGTGAAAAGTAGGACGAAGCAACATTTAAATTATTTTACACCGCATGGTGCGCACATGTCCGAGAATCAAAATTGCAAGTCGAAACGAAAGCCTTTCCAACTGCTTCCGTATCACACATACAATCTCGAACAGACAGGCCGCGCGCCCGGAAACTGGTGCAACATATTCCAACCCGAGTCAAAACAAGACTCTTCGAAAATATGCAGCTTCTGATTTCCAGCGTGTTTCTTTACTGAATTAAGTTAGTTGAAAGTAAGCAATCGTCGAGGCGTTTCTACGTCATTTGGTGAAAGTTGGTCTTGATCCTCATGGCGAAGAGAGACGTTCCGTCTCAGTTGAGGGGCTGATGCTACTGTCGCAGCAAGTGGCCACGGATTCGAGCCGGTCCGACGGGCACGCATCCCAACCACCGCTTGCCGCAACGCCTCGAGTCGATTGGCAGACGGAACATAAAGAGCTTCATCGCAGTCTAACAAGGCTCCTTGTCTCTCCCTGGCCGAATAGTATTGCGCAATAACACTCTGCACAACACCTCGAGAAGTCCTAAGCTTGTTTGCTGTGCTTCTCTCCTCTCGGGACACTCGCAAAAGTTCGGCTTCCAATTCATAGAGTGCAGGTAAAATGTCCACATGTGCCTGGGCGCAGAGCTTGTACTTCCGCGCTGTATTCGAAATATCTCGCAACTTCTCATGCATTTCATCCATTCCATCCTGAACCTCGAGTATAGTCTCATTCACCAACGCGTTGTTCACCGAGGAGCTGCTTCGAGATGCACATCGCTCGCACATTGCCGAAGCTGCTGCCGTCGTCCCCAAGTCGTTTGCAGCTCCACTTCCCGAGTTGGCCGGTTTTCTTACGGCCGTTTCTGCAGATGTCATGGCTTCTCGCAGACCAGTAAGTTCTCGCTCTTGTTGATCCTGGACGACTTGCATTGCTTCAATTTGACTGCTCATTTGCTCAATCTCTCCATTAGCGGACGTGAGTAATGCCTTAAGGGCAACAGCGTTGTCGTGACGAACGGGATCTTTTGATGCCGCACTTCGAAGACGCTCCAGTTGCTCTTGCAATTGAGACGCATGAGATTCCCCTCTTGTAATGACTTCCCTGGCGTGCCGCAACTGCTTCTCCAAGGAGCGGTTCTCGTCTTCTGCGAAACTAAGCTCTTTCTTCAATTCTTCAGCGGCGGCTTTGTATTTTGAAACCCCCGTGTCCAGTGCTCGATTTTCCTCCTCATACATGTCTGCGGCTGACTTCCGATGCAGGAGCTCCTCTGTCAGGATAGATATCTGCCCTTTGAGTGCCTCGGCCTTGTCTCGAACTTGATCTGAAATTGAAGAAGAACTGCCGATATCCTCAGGGAGCTGAAGACTACTTCCTGAGACGCTCCTGAACTCTTCCTCCTTCTTCTCAAGCGCACTGTTTAAATCTCTTACCTCTGCCTTAGCGGAGTCAAACTCGCGTGAAACAGATTCAAGCTCCATTCGCAAATGTTTGACTTCTGCGTAGTTCTCACCCCGCTCAGATGTCTCCTGTGTCAGTGAAGCTCTCGACTTTTCCATTTCAAGGGTGTGCTTTGAGCAGAGATCGCGTACGTGGGCTTCATGTTCTTGTCGTAGAGTCAAAAGCTCATTCTTTTGCTGCTCCACTGAAACGTCAAACTGTTCGAGAAGGAATTTTCCCGCGTCCAGAAGTTTTGAATTCTGCGATTTAAGGTCGGAAATTACTTTCTTCTGGCCCTCAATCTCAAGGTTGTTTTTCTCGATTATATGACGGGATTCTCGCTTTTCGTTTTCACAATTCATCGCAACTTCTTCCAGTGTTCCTTTAACCTGTTTAAGGGCATCGTCGAGTCGCCGGTTCTCCTTCCCTAAGTCGTGAATTTCTTTATCTTTCATAGACCCGCTATCCTGCAAAACGCGAATACACTCCTCATAGGAAGACATGGCGTTCTCATTGTTCTCCCTGTGCTCGTTCAATTCACTGTATGCCATATCTCTGTCTTTGGTGACAAGGCGCAGGTTCTTTTCAAGTTGCTCCTTCAGCTTTCGTTCCTTCTGCAGTCTGAGACGCAAAGTAGCAGCGGTCCTATCGCTTGGAGCAACTCCTTGATTTTGATTGTTTTGCATCAGGTCGTTCTCGTCCCCTACGATAAAAGGACTGTTGATGTCTTGAATCACTGGCGACGACTCGATCAGCTGCATTCCAGTGTTCAACTCTTGCGTTATCGTGGCAACTCTCGTTCTAAGCGCATGGTTGTCGGCCTTCGTATTGCCCTCCGCAGAAAGGACGTTGTTGGTTAGAAGGGTAGCCAGCAGCTCCGAGATGCGACGCATTGTTGAAAGTAGCCCTTGCGATGTTGACGTAGGTAAGATGTGTAGACATTTCTCTTCGTCAGCAGTATCCAGGGGAAACGGTGTTGCGCTTTGAGGCACCGGGGCAGTCAATTGATCTTTCCCGAGGTCATCGCCCACCGCGTTGTCAGGGGGCATGTTTTCACCAGTGGCTGGCTTGCCTTTCGACGGATTATTCACGTGCTGCTGATACAGACGTGAAGATGCGACGATGTATGAATCGCCACGTGATTCCCAAGTTTGACTGCCATAATCTGATTCCAGCGTGTCACCATTATCCGAGACATCCACGGAAAGAAATGGCGGCAAACGGCCCTTTACAGCTGTACGAACGGCTTTGGAGTCAAGCGAATTGTCGATGGCCAGGACGGTGATCTCCTCAAACATCGATCGCTCCACAACGGCAATAGACATCAAGTCGCGTTCTTTCACAGAATCAATAGCAGTGAATGTCAAATCTTGTGTATCCCATTTGACGACATTTGGAATGTACTCTTGCGAGACATTACTGTAGCTAGAATGACCCGCAACGGACCACACTTCCTGCGTCCCAACCCGGACCAAATCAGAAACAGGACCATTGTGAGGAGCCTTGTCCACCATGAGTTCGATTCCATTACTGTCATCGCCTACAATATCAAAAACTTGGACGGCGCCATCAACAAGGCCAAGCCAAAGAGCATCGTCCACTCGCAACACACTTCGGATAGCTTCGCGAGCCATAGAAATCTCGCGGACGGCACCTCCCACCTTCAAATCCCAGACTAGAACCATGGCATCCTCCCCCGCGCTATAGAGATACTTATCATCGGCAGCGAGGGCGTTGACGGCCTCCTTGTGCTCGGTCCCACATCCCAACATGCAGTCAAAGGCTAGTGAGCCAAGATGGCATCTCCCCACGGTGCCGTCCTGAAGACCAAAGAAGAGGGCGTTCTCATTTGAGATCGGGAGAATGCAGAGAGGAACGGCGTGTACTTGGAAGCGGTTGGAGCGAAGTAGCTCGCCGGTTTGGGCGTTGAAAGCGTGAAACGAGCCGTCACTGCATGCGGCGTAGACGGAAATGCGGTCGTCGCAGGCAGCTATTGAACGGACTGGGCTCGGGAGCTCGGCTGGTTCCTCCCATTTGGGAGGCTCCGTGGAGAGGAGCTTGTGACGCAAAGAACCGTCGCGGGCGACCGCCCATAGACGGCCGTTTGCGAAAACAACGCGCGACATGGCGCGTGGGGCGGGGAACAAAACCGTCCCCCTTCAAAAATGAGGGGAAGAGAGGCAACTGGGAATTCTCGGTCGAGACGAGACCAGCAAAAAAGGTCAAATCGAAAAGATTCGAATTCGCCGTTTGCAATAGAGCACGGAAAGGAAGTGAGGTTGGTGAGGTTGAGTAAAAAGGGAGGAAGGGTGGACGAATAGGACAAATACCACAACGGATAACTGCGCGGATGCTGTACTGTATTGGAAGTGAAGCGGTTTTCCCGCGTGAGACGTTGACGCTTTTGACGCAGCCTATGAAACGGGCACGAGCTCGTGTTACGATGATGACTTCGTTGTCTCGCTGCTGTTGCTACTGCATCAGCAAGCTATCGGCTTGCGGCAAAACGTGCGCGAATTCCGGCCCATGCGCTTATTTGAATTTTGAATTTCTGGGCACATTCGCGCCATATCCACCGCACAAGGCTTCTTTGAGGTCCCTTCCACCGCGGCATGCAGCATGTGCAGAGCCACCCCGTGTCGTACCAGTACAACACCTCCACATGCAATCGGCCCCGTCTTCTATACACACATACTGTATCTCTGGTTGAAGCCAGGGGTGCAGGCCCTGCAGGCTGCGCTCCCCATCCACCATCAAAACCAATCACGTGGAGGCCTGCCCATCGTCACTGTGTTCAGGGTTTTCGTCCCAACACGCAGCGTTCAGTAGAGCACTGTGCAAGGAGACCTCAGTCCTTTCGAGGGGATGCTTTATCATCCGTTTCCAACTCCACTTGTAGAAATACTAAAGTGCTCTCCCCAAATTGGGATGATGCATCGATTCGTTAAGGCTTTTGCTACAGCACTGCATGCCGTATTGCCAGTTGAGCATCTACCCCAGGTTCTTGTTACAGTCCAGACGAAAATGCTTCCGAGAGGCCTTCTCGTCTATCGTGTTTCACTCTGGCATGCACGGTACAATACATCTTGCAAGCTAGTCCAGTGCTTGTCACTTCCTGCATTCGCCTTACATTCCCTAGGAAGCGTCCAAAACAAGCCCCGACTGCCGCACATACGTGTGCGTACGCGCGGCTGCAAAATACCTTGAGCATTTGATAGCGACCTGCTCACACATTGTGGACTCACTGCAATGTGTCAGCAGGTGCTTCGGGTCGTTTAGTACACTCCCTACACCTTGGCTGTTTGGATGTTTTGACCTGAGTGCTGTACCGGAGCTCTTATTTTATGAGTGATGAGATGTGAACAACAATTGTTTCTGATCTCTCTGCAGGCATTTAATGCCCTTAAACGATATCTCGAAGCGATCTCTACTCCCAAACCATCCCGAGCAGCTTGTTCGCTGTCTGGATTTGCAATGCAGTCGCAACCGCAATCGCATGGGGATTTTCTGAACAGCTGTTGTCACGTGCACGGGCGAAGTGCCATTGCAACGGTACTACGCGCCGTCTTTCCTGTCCTTAGTCGCTTCTCTGCTATCCCCCACACGAGCTCAGCCCAGACTCAACATCGAACTCAACAATATTAATTTACCACTCACTGGAGAAGTCAGTTTGGGACCCCATCTGTTCAGCTCGTCCCCACATCCATATTCTCACTTTCTTCCTACTTACTACAATTCTCCATCCCACTTACCTTCGCCCTCGGGGACTAGGTGACGGTTCCGACATTTCCTCCCCTCTCATTTGCCGCCGCCGTGCGTAGTGTCCGTTAAAGTCCAACCTGAACAAAAGGAACACACATGAATCCACGATTCGGCAGTGTCTCTTTAGCGCCGCGAGGAATTTGTCAAGGCTCTCGTTAAATGACCTATCGATTGCTTCAAGCCGGTCTTTCACTCTTTCAATGTCATTGCTACCCACGGCATGCTCGTGTAGCCTTCCCCTATCTGCCCAGGCACTCAGTTCTTCTTGAACCACATTGAACTTGGGAATCACGTTCAATACGGCACTTAATTCTGTCGCTACGTACTTGCTTCGGTCAGACAATAATGTTCGATCTTTGATTCTAGTCAGGTATACCGAATGTGCGTGAATCATGCCATCAAGGTCATCCGCTGCCGCCATGTCCCTCTCCAAAAGAGTCCATGAACCTTCCAGCACTTCGACAGTGCAGTAGTGCTGCATGTTCTGCACCACGTGCGACATCTTCATTCGAAGGTGATGCGCCCGTCTCACGACGCTCTTCATTTCGCGCCACAATTCCTCGTCTTCCCCTTCTTTCCTGCGACGTTTCTGGTCCTCAAACCAGCACAAACTCAAATACGCCATGCTCATCAAATGATCCATTCTCTTCAATCTCCAAAGAAGTCGGAATATCAATAAATACGCGTCCATTACCTTCGGAGCAAACACGGTGTTAAGGGGCGCATCCTCAACCCGATACGTTAACGAAAATACATCCCAACCTACTTCCGTCTCCTTTCCCTGTGGTGCTATTTGCACATCCAGTCGCTCAAGAATATCTTGATCCGTTTCTTCGTTGAAACTCGAACATTGCTGTAACGCCGAGTCCACAATCCCCGTCAGATTGTTTCGCAGAATATCAGCGTCTCCGTCCAGAATCGGAGCCAGTCCGTCCATGAGGGCTTGCGAGAAATCACCTTGTGAGAGCAAAAGATAATTCTTAATGGCTCCGAAATGATGACTGAGGTCAAACCGATCGAAGAACAAGGTCTTGAGTCTCCGACTGGCTGAGTCCTTGGCCGCCTCAACTAAAGCCCTGACGTGGTCTCCATCAAATCTTGGGTCTCCTTCAAATAGCTTTTTTCTGTCAGATGCAAGACCTGCTATTAGCGGTGTATGTTCTTTGTCAACCCAGCTGGAATCCATGCAACATCGTCTCAAAAATGCAATTGACTTTCCAGCAATCAAGGCTTTCTGCACTATTCTCGAGTCTATCGACCCTGGAAGTTGATCTTTCCGAAGCTTAAATAAGCCCCACCAAATTCTCTGACTTGCCATTGATGCACTGTTTGGTCCGCCAGCCAAACCACCGATAACTCCGACCTCTTCCAACAGAGAAGCGGCTGAGTAAGGTGTCGCTTTTGATGCTATAGCAGCAATTCTAGGATCTTCCATTATGAAAAATTCTCCGTGATGGTCCGCTACAACACCCTCTAAGAGCCACCGCTGGAGCATTCGATTGATTGGGGCTGCTGTGCTCGCAAGTATGCGTGACATCATTTCGTGAATTGCAGTCGGAAGATAAGATCCCCGATGGGCGCGTAAGTGCCCTACAACCTTCCCTCCGTGTAATTCTCTGGTATCCTCACACAGACGAGCCAGACATCGCAATCGAGGCTTTTCCGATTCGGCCCAAACATAAATCTTTCTCAGTGAGAGATCCCCAGGCTTTTGCTTCATCTCGTCACCCGTTGCTGTGAAGCTCTCTGAAGATTCAGCAATCCTACGCAAAGTTGCCAGACTACGATAATAAGTGTCCATCTCTCGGACGATTGCGATGCACATGTTCTGGTCAACAAGACCCCTCTTTTCACTCTCCTCTCCTTCAACTCGGCGTTGAATGATGCGGAAAAGGAAGCCGATCTCGGAGACATACATGACTATGTCCCGTGTGGGCATAGTGACATCGACGCCGCTCGGCATGTTGATCTGAACTGCTTCATTCTCAGAACTATCCGCAAACGACAGGAGCTTTCCGTTCTCACCTTGCACGATCAACAGAAGATCTTGGACAAGTTGTCTTTCCAATGATTTGTTCTGCAATGGAGTAGGACTCTGTGAACAAGCGGTTGAAATTATGGCGGGAGACTTATCAACTGAATCGTTGGTTGTTCGCTTTCTTGGTTTCTTCTTCTTCGTGCTTTTCATGAGGTAGAAGTTATCGTCATCGTCTTCGCTATCAGTGACGAAGTCTTCACCGGCGCGGGTCATGATTTCAATACCAGGTTCAAAAGGACTCGCAGACACGCCAGGCCGAGAAAAATTAGCCTCGTCGCGGGTGTCGTTTCTGTATGATGGGGACCCGTCGTCGCCCACGATTTCCGTACTGGGAGGACTGCGGGAGAGCTCATCATCGGCATCGCTTGCGAGTTGTTTCACGGAGCTGGAAAGCGGATGGGGCTTCTTGATTGGGTAATCGGCGCCCGACCCCCTCAAGTCATTGAGCACGTACAAAATGGGCCATACGGCATCCTGGTGCAACGCACGCTCAAACTTGAGGCCAGATGTTAACTCTGCAAGTTGAGTAGACTCGGCATGGCGGCCGTCTCGGACGAGGCGGAAGAGCATTGCGTGACTGATTGACTCTGGGGTTTGAATGCTTGGGGATGTGGTGAGGGCCGACTCCAAAAGGCGGTTGGCCACATGCATGACGGATTCAAGCCTTTCATTCGGCACATGAGAAGCGACCAATCTTCGCAGTAATTCACCGACTCGTCCCGAAGAATCATCGATAACGGACATGGCGTTGGTCTTGTTTCGAGAATGAAAGTCAGCTCTGAGTCTGAGATTTTGCGTCCGGTCGTTCGCACAGCATAGCTCCCCAAATGAATTGAGGACGGCAGAAGACGAGAAACGCGGGCTCAATGCCGTGAGAGCAGTTGAAGAGGGTGATATCTATCTAGCGTATCAAAGGGTACTCCGTATGTACAGTACGGCTGGCGAGAAATGAAAGGGCGTTTGCACACACAGTATTGCGGATAGAGTGTCCAGAAGTGGGGATTAGAGTAGTTGTTAGGAAAAAGCCCGCCATATTTTCAAAGGCCAATCGGATCACATTCGCCCCAAAGTCGCAAAGTTCAGGCTCAACGGAACGAAATTTTGTCACTGCATCCCATCCCCAACCCACATTTCGTTTAACCTCACTATATACCCTCCTACTGTGCCGACCTCGCGCCCCCTGCCACTCCACACACACACACAAAACGAATCTCACTTCCGTGTCTTCCGTGTCCTAACGCGTCCAACTTTCCGCGTGCAGCCCTGTATTCATTCTCAACTGCGCGTGCAGCCACACCTGCTCATACCTCTTTTTCTCACTGCGATGACCAAACCAGAGCCATTGAGTTTCGATTCCGCCCTTGCCCATCTCTGCTCGGATGAGTGGGCACCAAGTGGCACCCACGTCGCGACTCGCCACAGCGATGAAGTACTTCGAGCACTTCTCCCCGCCTCGCGCACCGATGCAGGACGCGCTACACTAGGCGCTGCACCTCGCGCCATTGAGCACCTAGTGTGCATCTTCAAGGACCCGCTGATATTCCACGAGCAGAACGGCGAGCTTGCTATCAGAGTTTTGCGCAACGTATGCGCCCGGTCCGTCGCTAATCAAGGACGCACGGCGCAGTACGGAGCGCATGACCTGGTCCTAGATTGCATCGCCAAGCGTTTCGACTTCTGCGACAACGAGGCAGCTGCTGGGGATCATACCGCGCTGCGCAGAGTGGAAGACGATGGCCTTGAGGATCATGGTCGCATGCGCCTGCCGTTTTTTGGCTTCGCCGTCGAGTTTCTGGTCAACTTCGTTACGTGCAACGTGGACAACGCCGAGCTGGTGTGGAGGAAGGCCTTCCCAGGCATATTGGGCAAGCTCCTGGAATGTGATAACCACGCTGCGGCATCTGCAGCGGCCGCGTTAGTACACAACTGCATTGCCATCGTCCCGGACCGTATGAAAGACATTGTCAAAATTTGGTCAAATCCAGGTGACGGAAATCAATCGCTTACCCGCTCTCTCGTTGCCCAGATGAAAAACTCAGAAGAAAATGGCAAGCAGCATGAAAAGTTTATGTGGTCTTTCATGATTATTCGTCGTTTAATCGGTGCCTCATTTTTGGAGAATTCCTTTGAAGCCCTGGGCCCCTCACTCGACAGAATCGCTTCATCGTCAACTGGATTTTCGGAGCATCAGGAAACATTCCTGCAAATATTAGAGGCTGCGGCAAGTAAGTCAGCAGAAGTTCCGAATGAGACGGAGGATGACACCGCCGAACTTGTTATCCCCGAAAACAGCCTTGCTTTCTTCGCAGAGTTGTTCGAGGCCGCCATGTTAAAATCGCATGCTGAAATTCTCAGAACGACTGGAAGCATCATTGGATCCGTCATCATAGTTTCCGAGGACTCTGCAAAACTTGATGTGTTGAGAATGCGCTCTGTCAAAGTTGCGATCAGTGTATTGCACGCAATATCAGGTGGCGAAGGCAATGTCGGAACTTCTGCGACCAGTCTGGGTGGCGAGGAGTTGGCTAGAATAGACAACGCTGTGGTGTTGAGCGGTTTGAGGGGAATTATGGTTCGTACTATTGCCATATGCTGCGATATGTCGAAAGCGGCACAGGATTCGGTACGCAAGTTGCAAGGGATCCCCCCAGTGTTGAGTGCCCTTTCCTACGAAAAAGATTCGTCCAAAAATCCGTTCCTGCGAGAATGGGCAATTCTTGCAGTACGAAATTTGACCCTCGGGAACAAAGAAAATGCTCAAGAGATCTCAGGTTATGAACTGGCTGGTGTACAAAATGATTCAGAACTTCTCCACAAAACTGGTCTTGAGGCGTACATGGACGAGAAAACGGGAAGGCCAAAACTGCGAGTAAAACGCACTCCCGCATAGAGGCAAAGTCATACAAAAGTCTTTACATTAATATATTATTTGTCCCATCGTCATCGTAAATAAATGAAAGATGAAACTTCACTCGTTTTAGCACAAGACTATTGTTATCAAGCGACTCCCCTACGGTGAGTACGAAATATCATCAGAAGCAAGGGTTACAAGCCTTCTAAGTTTAATATGAGACTCCACGCATTCCTCGTAGTCTTAACATGGCAAACCCCCGCATGAAATCTGAGAACATCTAATCTGTAGCGAGCTTTTGAACAATAGAGATATGAGTATCCGTAAACTTATTGGCGTGAGAGCGATAAGACAGACGAACAAGCGGCGGAAGTATCCTTTGCCAAGCGGATAAAACCTCGTCTGTCATACCCCTTGACACGACACACAAGTGCAGTCGTTTGAAGTCTGCGTCTCCAGTCTTATTTAAGAAGGAGGCCAGTTTTTTTTCAATAGACTTACCATCCCTGCGCTTGTAATTTTCCTCAATCACCAGTGGAACGTTGTTCTCAAACTTCTCCAGGCACTCAACAATGGGATGCATATCAACCAAAGCTTTGATGATTTTGGCCATTGTTTCATCAGGTGGTCTGCGGCTCAACTGGCTGTAAACGGTATCGAAATTGGAAAGCATAGTGGATACTTTTTGGCTCAGTTGCAATTGGGCGGCCTCGTCCAGCTCATCTGGTAGCTTTCCGCGCTTCATAACCCATGGTATAAGGATTTTTTCATGCGCATCGCATGCGACTTCCATGAAAGACGAGAATAAGTCCCACCACGAGAAGAACATCTCCAAGTCTGCAGTCCTCAAATCTTGAATGCGCTTCTGCATTGAATCAATCATGTTGTACAAATCTATGAGTTCCCTCCGTATACCATTATGCAACCTAGCAAAGACATCCAGTGCCCAGCTTGAACCAAGTGGAACAAGGTTCAGTCCATCCGGACGTCTGTAGTTGAGAAGGGCAGAGCTTAATCTCGCGCTTTTTCGAGGGGCGGCGTTCGCATTGAGAAAATCTGAAGCCATAAACAATGCATCTTCCGTGTCATTCTTCTTCGGGTCATATAGTACCTTTCCTGTTTCTCCCATTCTGCAGTCGCCTTCAACTTCTACCGCAGTCCATAGACGTCAACGGGCTCTCCTTCTTTGGAAGAATGTGAACGAATAGTGACAAAACCAGGGAGAAGAGGGAAATTGGATTTCAAGCTGCTCCATGCAACTATGTTTGTCAGTCTTGAAAAAGTGAGAGTGATTTAAACACAGTAGAACCTCAAAAGCAAAACGAATGCGTCGCACATATGCTGCTTCATTTTGTTATCAGTTATCACTTAAACGAATGCATGATGAGTCTCGGTGGCTCTCTAAAAATTAGGTTACCCTCGTCTAAACCATATATAAAAAAACCCTCCAGCTGACAGAATGTAAACAGGACTGTGACTTTTGGTAGTATTGAAAGATTTTTGTGAATGCAGAGCGTAACTTCTGCCTAGAATACTCGGAATGCTCATGTATTAGTTTTAAACATAATGTTTATATCTTTTACCAGAAGCTTCGTAGCTCTACTTTGAAACTGTTCTCACCGAGGCGGAATTTGGAGGTTAAAATGAAAGGGAAGAATACCCAGGTTTGTACTACTTTGAGACTGTTTTCAATCGAGATGCATATACGGATTTCACAAAAAGAGAAGGTGATAACTGCGAAAACATCTGAACTAGTCGTTCGGAACTATGAAAAATTTGGGTACGGTATAAATCCACAAATCTGTAAACCGCCAGATCAGAGTTCAGTGCTTTCAAACATTTACGTTCTGTTCGCAACTCTTCTCCATGATATGCAAAAATGACAGCCTCGCCGATGTAGACAACATAGCGTACAGAGAAGAAGTTGCTGTGTACTCCAAATTTATGTAAAAACATTTGCGGAGTTAAGCAACTCATCCCAAAACTGAACGAGAAATGGAATACTACACCCAACGGTCTGCATGTATTTGTCGGAATGGTTCTTGCAACTACTGCAGAGGTAATACTATATCCTGTACACTATCATGATTCTCGTATAGTCAAGCACGTCACTTTAACGTGAAATGCAGCTATAATAATAATGTTGTTTCCTCATACAGTAATTGTTCTTTCTATGTACTGCAGTGTTTTCGGAGTTGTAACTGCCTGTCTACTTGGCAACAATAAACGGTAAAAAACAAAAAACCCTTATTTTTTTAGCTTTCCAAAAAGCAAGCAGCTGTATTATTCAGTATGACAAGAAAACCTGCGTCTAGCGTGGCACGACACAGTGGTGCTGTAGAACACTTCAATTATGTAGTGTGCACTGAGAAAAAATAAGACTGGAATTTGAGTCCCTGCCAGCCTGGCGGCTGGGCCGGGGTTTGTTGACAAAAACGTACAGTCTCCTGCTGCATCCAAAACGACCCCTCTCCTCCTACTCCGATGGTGACGCGAGCATTGTCTTTAGGCTAGCATCGCAATTGACTAGTTGCCCCTCACACAAACCCGAACATCTTTTTCGCCAACAGTGGCTTTGGCTTCAGGCCTGTCAACGTTGGCACAAGCCACCATTAATCGCAATCGCAATTTCTCGCTGGACCTGTTCTACTTCCTGAGAGCCTTTGCCTTTGACCGAACCTTCAGTTTCTCACCCTCACACAATTTCCACTCAGCGGATATACAGGTGTGATCCAAGTCACTTTTTGCTACCTCGCAGCGACAGCGTGGTAGAACAAGGAAATCAGATTCAGTTGAATTGAATCGCCTCCTTTACTGCTCGTCGATAGCTTATCGGCATGAGCAGCGCTGCAACTTACGAGATAGCAAACACCGACGAGCTGGAGGCTCTTGGGAGGGACGATGTCGCGTTTGACACAAGCGCTGGTCTTGGACCAGATGAAAGCGTGCGTCAGGAGGATGTGGATGCAACATCCTCGCCCAAACGGCGCGTGTGCATCGTGCTAGTAATTGCAGTGATATCGCTTGCAGTCATCGCAACGTTCCTGGGGGTGTTTCTGTCGAGGAAGCGGACATCTGACAACTCGGAAGTTCCTGCTATGCCAGATCCTGGACTCTCAGCCGGCGATACCTCTCCGCCTGCCTCAGAACCTGAAGCTCCCCCTGGTGATTCGGATGACTTGAAACCTGCGGCACCCAAGGAAGTGAAGATATATGCGATCAATGTATTGGATTCGAAGCCACATGACACAAGGGCATTCACGCAGGGTTTCGAGTACGCAAACGGTGTGTTTTATGAAAGTACCGGGATACGAGGGAAGTCATCTTTGCGAAAAGTTGATATTGACAGCGGGAAAGTTATTCAAAAGTATGAGATACCGGACATGAGATTGTTCGGGGAGGGTATGACGCTGCACACGACTCATCATATCTTCATGCTGACATGGCAATCGGGGCGTGGGTTGGTGTTTAACCAGTCTACGTTTGAGGTGATCAAGGAGTGGAAGTATGAAGGAGAAGGGTGGGGGCTGTGCATGGACCGGGTAAAGGATGAGGTGTACATGAGCGATGGAACGGACCAGCTTCGGGTGTTAGAGCCGGACAATCTTTCGGAATTGAGGAGGGTGAATGTGACTCTGCGTGGAAAGAAAGTGAGGAACCTGAACGAGCTCGAATGGGTTTGCGGAGAAGTTTGGGCAAACGTCTGGCAGACGTCGCAGATATATCGGATTGATCCGGTGAGCGGACGGGTGAAATCGATTATCAAGGCGGACTCAATTCCATTAGCCAAGGATAAATTGTCATCCAATGATGTGTTGAATGGAATTGCGTTTGATAGAGCTTCGGGTCGTTTATGGTTAACTGGAAAGCTTTGGCCTGCCATCTACCAAGTTTCCATCACGGACGATACTTTAGATGTCTCAAATTGTAAATAAAGAGCGACAGGCACTATTGAAAAGTAGCGTTGGAGACTGAGATGAGTAGTTGGTGGTCATTTGCAAGGATGAAGTGCTGAACGATGGTGTTGAACGGCTGTGTTGGTATTGTTGAAAGTGTCTTCCCTGCATATCTTACGTGTGCAACTCTTTCGAAGCGAAGCAAGATGATTGCGTTTTCGGTGCGGCGCTTGGCGACAGAAGCATTGGACCGAGGAGCGATGCTACTTTATGATAGGAGCCTGCCTCTCTACGACGTCCTATGGTGACTAACAAACTGTTTGCATGAGAATTTGGAGAAACACTTTGGAAAATGAATAAAGAGGTGCCATAGCCCGATGGCTATCCTTACAGTACATGCCATGACTGTAAGCTTTGGCCGGGAGTATCCGACGAGGCTACTCGCAACGCGTTTTTCAACAAACTGTACCCTCGGGTACAGTAGAATCTCGGTGCCACGCATGCACAGCCCTGGCCCGGACCCCTGGCCCGGACCCAATGTTTAACTTAATGTGTACCTTATCATATACCTTACATCTTTATTTACAACAGAGCTAAGACCCAGACCCTTTTGGGTCAAAGCGGACCCAAGAGCGCCGCCTTTTGTACGGAAATTGCTTGACACGGAGCAGAGCACCATGGCCGCCTTGCTTCTGCCTCTCGCAGTCTTTGAGCAGCAGTCGCCCGTGGCCTGGGACAATGCCTAGATCCTTGTCATGAACGCCTCGCGCCTGCCCTGCTTTTCATTCTGCCCATATCAAGCACTTTCTGTGCGCACCGAAGTCGCCGGGCGCCCTCTCTGCAGTGCCATGAGGAAACGGCGCCCGCTCAAACCCACCTCTCGTCTGGAAGGAAAAGCCGCCGCAAACACTGTGTCACGCCTCAAGGATGCCCCGGGCACACCAGCAGCACTAGCCATTGCCTTCACTGCCATTGTCACAGTCGTGGGGCTGCTGGCGGCCCGAGCCGCCCAAACTCCCGCCCTCAGAAACCCACACGCCGTCAAGGGCGGTCAGCTTGCCTCATTGCCTCGTGCTCCTGTGTACTCTACAACCGTCTTGGCAGAGTACACTCATGACTACGAGGCCTTTACTCAAGGACTCACATGCCACAACGGACAACTTTTCGAATCAACCGGCCTCCGCGGTCGCTCCTCTCTACGCCATGTAGATGTAGAGACGGGCACCGTCATAAAAGCCCATCACTTGGACAGCGCTGACTTTGGAGAGGGGCTTGCCATTGTCGGCGAGAACGGAGACAAGATCGTGCAGCTCGTCTGGAAGACAGGAAAGGGCTATGTCTACAACCGAGAGGACCTCACCCCAGAGTCTGAGTTTTCCTACGAGGGCGACGGCTGGGGTATAGCCTCTTGGCCCGGAAAGAGTCACGAGGTCTTTCTCAGTGACGGCTCCTCTCGCATTCGCGTGTATCGACTCGTCGATGGCGCCTTGGTAAAGCTTCGTGAGTTCACCGTCCGGGACGGGCTCAAGGATGTCGGCTTGCTGAATGAGCTGGAGATCGTCGGAGACGAGCTCTGGGCCAACGTCTGGCTCTCCAGTTTTATCGCGAGGATCGACCCGCAGACGGGCACCGTCGTCAGCTGGCTTGACCTGCAGAACATCCTGGATAAGTCGGCCATTCCAAAAGGCCATGAGGTTGATGTCCTGAATGGAATTGCCTACGACAATTTAAAACGACGAGTGTACGTGACGGGGAAACTTTGGCCAAGGATGTATTCTATTCAAGTCTCCGATAAAAGGGTGGCCGATAACATCGAGAGAGCTGGAAATGCCTTTTTCCTGGACCCCAATCGCGTCAAGTACGTGCACGAGTCGATCATTGGAATGTAAAATACAAACGGAACGTGTAGGTAGAGCCTCGTGTATGTTGTTGGTTGCTGTGCCGCCGGCAGAAACGTTTTCGAAATCAACACGCTGCAGCTCTCATATGGTTGGCCCTGCTGATTGAGGCGGCGGCCGCGCGACCACCACACAAAAGCACGACGTGCCATGAGTGCCCGAACGGACGATGATACCGCAACGGGCGCCAGGTGGAAAGTCATTAGTTAACGTCAGCGTCGCGAAAATTGCAGTAGGGGCACTCGGTCCTCAAGGGCTACGAACACAGCGGGGACACACCCTACACCATTCCGCGACGGTGCAAGCTCAGGCAGCGGTGGCACTCTTACAAGCGTCGCAAACCTCTTTATAAAGTTGATCGACGGGGACGTGATCGCCGGCAAACATATCTGTATGAAACAAGCTAACCGTTCCATCCTTGGCCACCAAGACGGCGCCGCCCTGCTGAAACGCGTCCGTCGGCAAGCGTCTCCACGTCTGTCTATTGCCCTCCCCCAAGCTAGCGACGACCTTGCGCAGCGCGTCGCCGGTGAACGTGCTCGCGAGCCCCTTGCGGAAGCGGAGCGCCGCGTACGTGGCGCGCGCGGGGTCGGTGAACATGTCGCCCTGCC